GTGTCCGGACTGGAAGGGGGGGACAGTGTCCGGACTGGAAGGGGGGGGACAGTGTCCGGACTGGAAGGGGGGGACAGTGTCCGGACTGGAAGGGGGGGACAGTGTCCGGACTGGAAGGGGGGGACAGTGTCTGGACTGGAAGGGGGGGAAAGTGTCTGGACATGAAGTGGTAAAATACTTGACTGTTCAGCATTTTTTAAAGTTGGTGAAGGGGTCTCTGCTCAAAAACTAAAGCCCACCACCGAGTATGTTTTTCGGCAAGCCGTGTGACATTTTTAGCTACATACTTATACATTTTCTTTAAATATTCGAAGTAGACCCCGGGGGGGAAGGGGGGGGGGTGTTCAAACCTAGAATTTCAAATTAGCTACAGATCTGTGCAAATAATTGTACAAATGTAGGTCATAAATATAATAGTGGAGCTTTATGTAATATTGTATGCCAAGAAGCTGTAAGCTCGGTCACGAGTCCTCCCCTCGTAAAATCAATGTCATTTCTCATCCGAGGTTCTTAGAAGCTTCTAAATATTTGATAAAGTAACACAGAATTCGGTTTCATACTCAGCAGCCTCTGCAAATGACTTGGTGACCTGCAGTGAGATAATTGCCTAGAATCACCATTGACGATATCTATAAAAGTCTCGACAGCATACTCTTAACCCAATTTTGAGAACAAAAAAAAAAGGAAGCCTAAATCTGATTGGTTCCTCTGGGGTGACTGAAAACAGTTCTTCCTTCGTGGTTTTGTAAACAAGACTCCTAAGTCGTTTCTACCATCTTCCTGCCAGCCATCTGCTTTCTATGTCCTTGGTAACTAGATGTGTGTGATGTTTAGTGTTTTTTTTTTGTCACAATTCTTTTAACTCGTTATTTATATTGTATCCAGGTGACAAACATGGTAAGTTGATGGCCCCACCAGTCCACCACTTGTGACTCTAGTTTTGCTTTGGCACAGTGTTTGGCTATTGGCTTTGGTCTGTGACCCCAGCTTGTGCTACCTTACCCTACAGAACATGATATGGAACCAAATGGCCTTCAGAAGGAAGTCACTGCTATGGAGGAGCAGGGCGTGGCGCCCAGTATCCGACTAGTGTCACCGAGCAGTGGCTTGGCCTATACAAGCATGCAAGCCTTACCAGCATGGTCATCACCTGCCTAAAAGTTAAACCTGCTTAACGACTGCTTTGGTGTGTTTACCATCATGCACCGTTGTCCAATACTGGACATACATGGCCGAATGACCCTTTCCTGTAGCAATACATATGAGTATAGAAGAGGTAGGGTGCAGGTAGCACAGTCTGGCAATAGACTGATATTCACGGATACCTAAACCATTTAACTCCTACCGGACACCTACATGCCAGGGTTTGTCCAAAGTCAAGGTTTAGTTCACTGCCCATCACATCACTGAGGCATGAGTTGCAAAAATTCACTGGTATTGTTTTTTTTCTAGTAATAAGCACACCTATTGATCAGATGAATTGGTAGAGAACTCGTCTCCCCATCTGTCCCTTAATTTGGAGGTGCTGTCCCTCTTGGAACCAAATCCCTTTGTTCCTCATTTGTCCCTCAGTTAGGTCTGATATATAGACCTCTATATGAATGTATTTAAAGTGGTTGTAAACCTCTGAAATGAAAAATGAACGAAGCGTATCCCTCAATGGTGTGTACTTGCCTCAATCCAAAACCTTGAGTGTGGTTCCCATCTGTTCTCTTCCCTCTGCTATCTGCATGAGTCACTTCATGTGCCACCTCAGTTGTCCCTGTTTCCCTATGAGACTGTGTAGAGGGGGGTAGGTTCATTCTTTCCTCTCAGGTCTCAGACTACACTCAGTTCCTTGCTCTATGCTGTGCAGGGTGTGACATCAGATCCCTGCCTTCTGGATGGTCTCAGATGTCATTCTCGCCGAGGTAGTGGGAGACTGGGCAAAAGATTAGTTTTAGGGTGAAGGCCCACTTTAAGATATATCTATATATTTATAACTTTTATTATTATTTTTGTTTTCTCTCAAAGGATAGGTACAGGAACTCCCCCTTTTAAGTCACCTCTTGTCTCCGCCCCCTACCCACCACCGAGCACCGGCCCTTGGTTCCACCCCCTACCCACCAACGAGCACCGGCCCTTGGTTCCACCCGCTACCCACCAACGAGCACCGGCCCTTGGTTCCACCCCCTACCCACCAACGAGCACCGGCCCCTGGTTCCACCCCCTACCCACCAACGAGCACCGGCCCTTGGTTCCACCCCCTACCCACCAATGAGCACCGGCCCTTGGTTTCACCCCCTACCCACCAACGAGCACCGGCCCTTGGTTCCACCCCCTACCCACCAACGAGCACCGGCCCTTGGTTCCACCCCCTACCCACCAACGAGCATCGGCCCTTGGTTCCACCCCCTACCCACCAACGAGCATCGGCCCTTGGTTCCACCCCTACCCACCAACGAGCACCGGCCCTTGGTTCCACCCCCTACCCACCAATGAGCACCGGCCCTTGGTTTCACCCCCTACCCACCAACGAGCACCGGCCCTTGGTTCCACCCCCTACCCACCAACGAGCACCGGCCCTTGGTTCCACCCCCTACCCACCAACGAGCATCGGCCCTTGGTTCCACCCCCTACCCACCAACGAGCATCGGCCCTTGGTTCCACCCCCTACCCACCAACGAGCATCGGCCCTTGGTTTCACCCCCTACCCACCAACGAGCACCGGCCCTTGGTTCCACCCCCTACCCACCAACGAGCACCGGCCCTTGGTTCCACCCCCTACCCACCAACGAGCATCGGCCCTTGGTTCCACCCCCTACCCACCAACGAGCATCGGCCCTTGGTTCCACCCCCTACCCCACCAACGAGCATCGGCCCTTGGTTCCACCCCCTACCCACCAACGAGCATCGGCCCTTGGTTCCACCCCCTACCCACCAACGAGCACCGGCCCTTGGTTCCACCCCCTACCCACCAACGAGCACCGGCCCTTGGTTCCACCCCTTACCCACCAACGAGCACCGGGCTTGTTTCCACCCCCTACCCACCAACGAGCACCAGGCCTTGTTTCCACCCCCTACCCACCAACGAGCATCGGCCCTTGGTTCCACCCCCTACCCACCAACGAGCACCGGCCCTTGGTTTCACCCCCTACTCACCAACGAGCACCGGCCCTTGGTTTCACCCCCTACCCACCAACGAGCACCGGCCCTTGGTTTCACCCCCTACCCACCAACGAGCACCGGCCCTTGGTTCCACCCCCTACCCACCAACGAGCACCGGCCCTTGGTTCCACCCCCTACCCACCAACGAGCACCGGCCCTTGGTTCCACCCCCTACCCACCAACGAGCACCGGCCCTTGGTTCCACACCCCTACCCACCAACGAGCACCGGCCCTTGGTTCCACCCCCTACCCACCAACGAGCACCGGCCCTTGGTTCCACCCCCTACCCACCAACGAGCACCGGCCCTTGGTTCCACCCCCTACCCACCAACGAGCACCGGCCCTTGGTTCCACCCCCTACCCACCAACGACCACCTCCCAGTACTGCCCCTTTTAGGGAGTACAGAACCAAGTATCATTTTGCATTCCCCCCAGCCTCAATAGACCCCCCTTCCCACAGCAAAAGCCCCCAGCAACAAAAGATCCACCCCAGCATTAACAGACCGCCACCAGCAACAACAGATCTCCCAGCAGCCAATAGACCCTCCAATATCAAATAAAGACCCCTCCCTCAACAGTGGACCCTCCCAGAAGCAACAATAGATCCTCCAGCATACCGCGGCACCCCTTGCCATTAGATACATTCAATGCTGAAGGTGCCGGAACTGCGTTTCTCCACGTTCCGTCACCAGCAACAACAGAGCTCCCAACAGCCAGCACCAACAGACCCTCCAATATCAAATAACAAAGACCCCTCCCTCAACAGTGGGCCCTCCCAGAAGCAACAATAGATCCTGTGGCATACCTTGCCATTAGATACATTCAGTGCTGAAGGTGCCGGAACTGCGTTTCTCCACGTTCCGCCACCAGCAACAACAGAGCTCCCAACAGCCAGCGCCAACAGACCCCCCCAATATCAAATAACAAAGACCCCTCCCTCAAAAGTAGACCCTTCCTAGCAGCAACAATAGATCCTCCAGCATACCGCGGCACACCTTGCCGGAACTGCGTTTCTCCACGTTCCCGCTGTAAAAAAAAAGATATATATATATATATATATCATTTTTTTTTTCTTAATCAGTCAATTCCCCCATTCTCGCTAACAAGTGGATTGAGGGATCTCTACTGCCTGTTGTATTCAGGCAGCCACAGAACCCCCGGCTCCTTGCATACCAAACAGTGACTCCATCTGATTGGATTCATTCATTGTTTGGGCGATAATTTTCCACCTGGCTCGATTTTTAAAATCGACTTTTGAGCTGCTTGGTGCCGACAGGATGGCCAATGGCTTGAGTTATGTCAGGTTCAGCAGGGACTGGCTACAATTTGAGCCAAGTTGCTCGGCTTTAGTGGAAGTGATTTATAAGGGAGATACTATTATCAGCTATGAAGATCTTCCCCTACTTCAATGAAGAGAGATCAATGAAATTTGGGTGGTATAGGAATAGATAAGTTTCTCCTGCCACCACGGCAAATACGGTTTTCAAATCAAATATTCGCAAGCGAAACGTCCCTGTAAGCGCTTTGCGACTTTAGCTGGGTGATTGGGTCACGAGTTCCATTTATTTTTTTTTTTGGCCTGATGCCCCAGTGATGTGTCTAAGGAAGTGTTGTGTCCCCGGTGCATGTAGGTGTCCCGTACCACGATGACACGATCTGAGAGTGGGGCACTACAGTAAGCTGCCAATAGGTCAGGACCCCCCCCCACACAGCTGCATGTTTTTTGCTTTTCTTTTGTTTAATATCCACGCTTGTAGCTGCGCAAAAACCCGACTGTCTGCACAGAATTCAGTAACTGCATGCTAACTGTTATATTAAAGGATCAAACCGCCAAGGACAAAGCACTGCAGCACATGGCGGCCATGTCCTCCGCTCAGATTGTATCCGCCACTGCCATTCACAACAAGCTGGGCCTTCCAGGGATTCCTCGCCCGGCCTTTCCTGCTGCACCCGGGGTAAGTGTCCGCTCAGGGCTTTCTGTCATGGTTTCATGGTTAACTAGGTGGAAAAAAAGAAAAGACCAACGTCCATCCTCCCAAAATCTTCAGCAGTTTTGGTGTAGTAGTGGAAGGTCAGACTGCAGTATGATGTGACTGTGGCCATTTTTACTTTTAAAGGGGAAAAAAAAAAATCTTTCCTGTTCCAATAAAATAGTCTAGATCCAAGGGTCTCCAAACTACGAACTGTTGGCCAAATCTGGCCTGTTGCAAGATTTTATGCGGCCCTCGGATGTAAGAGGGGATCTTGATGTAAGAGGGGATCTTGATGTAAGAGGGGATCTTGATGTAAGAGGGGATCCTGATGTAAGGGGGGGTTCTGATGTATAGGGGGGCTCCAATGGGAGCTCTGATGGGCTCAGGTTTATTTGGAATTTCTTTGCTTCGTTTACTGATGTTTTTTTTTTCTGTGCTCTAAATCATAGCATGCTGATCACAAAAAAAAAAAACTCTTAAGTAAAACTTATGCAGGCCATACACGGGTCAAAAACCGGGCGTTTTTAAAAAAAAAAACAAAAAACGAAAAAATCGGTCGTTCGATCGCCCGTTACCAAAAACGGTAAAAAAAATCGGCCGATTTTCGTCCCGTCTACGGCCGGCATTTAATTACTTCTGTCCCTTGCAGAGAGCTCCGCTATTATATTTGACATGAAAAAGTATTGTGGTTGCAACAATGTATCCATTTGTATCCATTTCGGATACAGATGTTTTTATTCGGATAAAAAATAGATACATTGTTGCAACCGCAAGACTTTTCATGTAAAATATAGTAGCGGACTGGAATTTCTTCTTCTTCTTCTTCTTCTTTTTCTTCTTCTTTTTATTTTCTTCTTCTTTTTCTTCTTCTTCTTTTTGCAGGTCACGGCTCATGCACAGATTTTTTTATCGGTAAAACGATCGACCGATTTGCCCATAATTGCCGGAAAAATCGGCCGATCGTCAAAATCAGCCGCAAATTTTCCAACTTGACCGATAAAAATAATGTGCCAAAACCCCGAAAAACCGGGCCCGACCAATTAACCCTCTAACGGTGCAAAAATCGCCAGATTTTCGACCCATCTATGGCCTGCACTACTCTTAAATTTGAGCTGTTCGTTTATAAAACTGATTATTTTCGGTGACGCCCCTGGATATTTATAAAATATACAGCGTGACCCTCATACTGAAATGTTTGGAGACCCCTTGCTCTAGATGAAAATATCACCATACTGGGCTTTAATGTTTTGGTAGGACAGGTCATAACTTTGAAATATAAAAGGTGCAGCGCTAAAGTAATGAATGAATCAAATGAAATTCTTCTAAAAAAAGTGCATATACATTAAAAAATATTTTATTTTTTATTATTTTTTTTTTTTTCAGGTACTTATATAGCGCCGTCAATTTACGCCGCGCTTTACATATATTATTGTACATTCACATCAGTCCCTAACCCTCAAGGGGTGTACAATCTAAGGTCCCTAACCCTCAAGGGGTGTACAATCTAAGGTCCCTCACCCTCAAGGGGTGTACAATCTAAGGTCCCTAACCCTCAAGGGGCGTACAATCTAAGGTCCCTCACCCTCAAGGGGTGTACAATCTAAGGTCCCTCACCCTCAAGGGGTGTACAATCTAAGGTCCCTAACCCTCAAGGGGCGTACAATCTAAGGTCCCTAACCCTCAAGGGTGTACAATCTAAGGTCCCTAACTCACATTCATACATACACATACTAGGGACAATTTAGACAGGAGACAATTCACCTACCAGCATGTCATTGGAGTGTGGGAGGAAACCGGAGTACCCGGAGGAATCCCACGCAGGCACAGGAAGCACATGCGAACTCCAGGCAGGTGGGGTTGTGGCTGGGATTCAACCAACGACCCGAGGGTGGGAGGAAACCGGAGTACCCGGAGGAAACCCACGCAGGCACAGGGAGCACATGCGAGCTCCAGGCAGGTGGTGCCGTGGCTGGGATTCAAACCTACGACCCGAGTACTGCCAGGCGTTTGGAGACCCCAGTTGTAGAACGTCAGGGTGCCAAGTCAGGAAAGCAATCAGTGATCTTGCTGCTGTCATCCTAGAGACACAAGAAGTATATAGTACATTCACATCAGTCCCTAACCCTCAAGGGGCGTACAATCTAAGGCCCTTAACTCACATTCATACATACACATACTAGGGACAATTTAGACAGGAGCCAATTCACCTACCAGCAGGTCTTTGGAGTGTGGGAGGAAACCCACACAGGCACAGGGAGAACATGCAAACTCCAGGCAGGTGGTGCCGTGGTTGGGATTCAAACTAACGACCCAAATACTGCCAGGCGGAAGTGCTAACCATTTAGCCACTGTGCTTATTATTGATTATTTATTTATGTACATGCACATGTTTTAGAAGTATTTCATTTGATTCACTCATTACTTCAGCACTGCACCTCTTATATTTCATTCACTAGTGAGGATACCAAGGGCGGTCCTTTAATGCCAGCAGCTTATATCTTTCTACACACCCATAGAAAAGTAATTTACCTAATCTTTACATGGAGCATGGATATGTTTCTCATGTTATATCGCAGAATTATAACTATACAGTACTTGCAACGGCAGCAATAGACACTTAATTCTATAGATCCAATCGAAAATAAAAAGTCACCATCACTTAAAAATTAAAAAAAAAAAATGGGGGGGGAGGGGTGAAGATTGTCACATATATAGCAAGACCGTTTGGAGGTCTCACTGGTTCTACAAGGCAGCATGGTGACCAACGTCATTGTGTCGTCTTGAAGAAGGGACCTTTCGAAACTCTGAAACATCAACTTGCTATACAGTACATGTGGTCTATTCAGGAATTATAACCACGGAGACAGCTATTTTTTACTCTGTTTGCTCTACAAGGTGCAATATTCCCCTATAGATACACTCTAATTACATAGGATGACAGCTTGGTCAGTGCCGGGCCGGCACTGTTCATTCAGATTAACATGCAGACCATTATGGGTTAGACTAGATCACAGGTGTCAAACTGGCGGCCCTCCAGCTGTTGCCAAACTACAAGTCCCATGAGGCATTGCAAGATTGACAGTTACGAGCATGACTCCCAAAGGCAAAGCCATGATGGGACTTGTAGTTTAGCAACTACTGGAGGGCCGACCAGTTTTGCAGCCCTGGACCAGATGGATGTCTTTTTTTTTCCAACCTGACTAACTGTGTAAGACCAAGCTGTCCAGAAAAAAGTGGTATGGTTAGTGACAAACTGCCAGGAGTGGGGGTTGGATCGTCACATATATAGCAAGACCGTTTGGAGGTCTCACAGGATCCCTTCTACAAGGCAGCATGGTGACCAACGTCATTGTGTCGTCTTGAAGAAGGGACCTTTCGAAACTCTGAAACATCAACTTGCTATACGGTACATGTGGTCTGTTCACATTAGTACTGGTCAGGAATTATAACCACGGAGACAGCTATTTTTACTCTCCGTTTTCTCTACAAGGTGCAATATTCCCCAATAGATACACTCTAATTACATAGGATAATGACAGCTTGGTCAGTGCTCGGGCCGGCACTGTTCATTCAAATTAACATGCAGACCATTATGGGTTAGATTAGGTCACAGGTGTCAAACTGGTGGCCCTCCAGCTGCTGCCAAACTACAAGTCCCATGAGGCATTGCAAGATTGACAGTTACGAGCATGACTCCCAAAAGCAAAGCCACGATGGGACTTGTAGTTTTTCAACAGCTGGAGGTCCGCCAGTTTGACACCCCTGGACCAGATGTATGTCTTTTTTTTTTTCCAAGTTGACTAAGGCTGGCCAAACACTACAATTTTCTGTCCAATTTCTGCCCAATTTCCTTTAAATTTACCTTCAACTATGTAGTGCAAGGGCCGGCCTAATTGGATACAATTGAAAGTGTTGTTAGGTTTGACCTTCTATTATATGGTTTTTGGTAAATCTAAACCAAAAATCTCAAGAAAATTGTATAATGTATGGCCAGCCTAACTGTGTAAGACCAAGCTGTCCAGAAAAAAATGGTATGGTTAGGGACAAACTGCCAGGAGTGCTTACAGTGGTCACCTTTTAAGGGCCATTTAAAACTGCTCAACCATCTCTGATGGAGTTAAGTCTTATCCTGTTGGTTTTTCTGCATGCCCCTCCATGACATGTCTCAATTGCAAACTGTTATCAGAATTAATGACTGTGGTACTTAAAATCAATCTGCTTTGCCACCCAAATATTTTAAAGTGAAAGTCCTGCCTAAGAAGAGACACCTCTGTGTGTCCCTCAGAATCTGGTTTTACTCTACTCACTGTGTGCTCCCAGACTGGACTTTATTTTAAAAGTTTTTCAGTGGCAAAGACCGTATATTCAGATATGCACACCAGCCTTTCAAAGCTATAGTTCCTCCAGACGTTGCTATAAGTTCCTTGAGCAGAATTGATACCTATCTATAATGGGTGGGAGGGGGATCTTCCACTGACCACCAATAAAAAAGGGTCGTGCTTCCACTGACCACCATTAAAAGAGGGTCATCCTTCTACTGACCACCATTAAAAGAGGGTTATTCTTTCATTAACCACAATTGAACACATTGTCAGAGGGTCCATCTTCCACTGACTACCAATAAAAAAACGGTTGTCTTTCTACTGACCACCATTAAAAGAGGGTTATTCTTTAATTGGCCACAATTGTACGCATTGTCAGAGGGTCCCTCTTCCACTGACTACTAATAAAAGGGGGTCGTCCTACTGACCACCATTAAAAGAGGGTTATTCTTTCTTTAACCACAATTGTACGTATTGTCAGAGGGTCCCCTCTTCCATTGTCTACCAATAAAAAAGGGTCGTCCTTCTTCTACTGACCACCATTAAAAGAGGGTTATTCTTTAATTGGCCACAATTGTACGCATTGTCAGAGGGTCCAACTTCCATTGACTACCAATAAAAAAGGGTCACCTTCTACTGACCACTATTAAAAGAGGGTTAGTCTTTCATTAGCCACAATTGTACGCATCGTCAGAGGGTCCCTCTTCCACTGACTACCAATAGAAAGGGTTGTCCTTCTACTGACCACCATTGAAAGAGGGTTATTCTTTCTTTAACCACAATTGTACGCATTGTCAGAGGGTCCCTCTTCCACTGACTACCAATAAAAAAGGGGCGTCCTTCTACTGACCACCATTGAAAGAGGGTTATTCTTTCTTGAACTACAATTGTACGCATTGTCAGAGGGTCCCTCTTCCACTGACTACCAATTAAAAAGGGTCGTCTTCTACTGACCACCATTAAAAGGGGGTTATTCTTTCATTAGCCACAATTGTATGCATCGTCAGAGGGTCCTTCTTCCACTGACTACCAATAAAAAAAGGGTCGTCCTTCTACTGACCACCATTACAAGACGGTTATTCTTTCATTAGCCACAATTGTACGCATTGTCAGAGGGTCCCTCTTCCATTGACTACCAATAAAAGAGCATCTTCCTTCCATTGACCACCAATAAAAGAGGATCCTTCTTCCACTGACCACCAATAAAATGGGGTCCTTCTTCCCCTGACTAAAAATAAAACAGGGTCCCTCTTCCACTGACCACCAATAAGAGGGTCCTTTTCCCACTTGCCACCAAGGTCAGATGGTGTTTTTTCCATTGACTACCATGTTACTGGGCACCTCTTAATTGAAAACCAATGAGAGGCAACAACATCATTTCACGGTGTTTCTTTTATGACCATTATTATAATTTGTTACATTTTATAATTATTAATGAATAATGGTGTCACATAGAAGAGCTATGGGTGTCAAGTTGGCTAATCGCATCACATTCCTTATTCTTTTATTAATTTTTTAGGGATCACCTTACTGTCCACAATAATGTACTGTGAGCTGTAGTATTACTAGCAGGGGTTCCTTGAGACCTAAAAAGTTATTTTTAGGGATCCTTTGTGATAAAGAAGGTTTAAAAGGCTGATACACGCCATCATTTTATGTATAATAAAGAAATGACCTCATTTTATATAAATTTGTTTCATTCTCTTTTCACAGTACTGGCCAGGAATGATACAGACGGGTCAGCCGGGATCCTCACAAGAGTAAGTACCGGGGAGGAGATTTGCTAAAACTGGAGCGCTCCGAATCTGGTACAGATGTACATGGGAGCCATTCAGCTTCTAACTTCAGTTTGTCCAATTTCGCTTTGACAATAAAACCTGGAAGCTGATTGGCCTCTGAGCAGAGCTGCACCAGATATGGCATGCTCCAGTTTTAGCAAATATGCTGATTTAATAGGAATGAGATGTATAATAATCTATAGCGACCGGATCTCACTTTTCATCAGTCTACTTTACAGTATGCCAGTGCTTCTCAAATAGTGGGGCTCCGTCAAGGGGGGCGCGTCGCCGTCCCCCCCCCCCCCCCCTTCCGACAGAAGGGACACTAAGTACAGGGGTGGGCAGAGGGCTGCTGTCTCTTACCTGGCTCCCACGATGATCCATCCAGGAAGCGCTGCTCCTTCCGTCACTGCTGCGGCCACTCCCTCACTCCTGCCGCTCGGCTCCCTCCTCACCACCGTGATTGGCCGCCAGAACTGTAGCACCGGAAAGGTACACAGGCGGCCAATCATGGGCAAGGAGGCGGAGCCGAGCGGACCCGCAAAAAATCGAGTGAGGGAAAAAGCCGGTAAGTGTGCAGTGCAGAGGTGCTGCTGCAACCACATATTGCTGGCTGCATCAGCACCATACTGCAACAGGGGTCAGCAAGTGTCATTAGTGTCAGTGGGAGGAATAGTGCCGCATCATTGGTGTCACTGATACTAATGATGGGGCATTATTCCTCCCACTGACACCAACGATGGCGCACTATTCCTCCCACTGACACCAATGATGGGGCACTATCCTCCCACTGATACCAATGATGGGGCACTATTCCTCCCACTGATACCAATGATGGGGCACTATTCCTCCCACTGACACCAATGATGGGGCACTATTCCTGCCACTGACACCAATGATGAGGCACCATAGACAAATTATACTATTTACAGTCGCGCGGGGGGTGCGAAATGTTTTCTTCTTCCTAGGGGGGGCATGACAGAAAATAATTGAGAAGCAGGGGTTCTGCAGTATTTTTAACTTGTTAAAGCGGCGCTCCACCCAAAAGGGGAAGTTTCGCTTTAAGGACTGCTCCCCCCGCTCCCCATTAAGGATTGGCACCTTTGGGGGGGAGTGGGTACCCGAATTTGACAGGTAACCGCTCCCACTTCCGGTCCAATTTCGCTTTGATCGCCTAGGCCAGGGGTGGGCAACTGGCCCTCCAGCTGTTTGTGAACTACAAGTCCCATCATGCCTCTGCCTTTGGGAGTCATGCTTGTAACTGTCAGTTTTGCAATGCCTCATGGGGGCTTGTAGTTCTACAACAGCTGGGGGGCCACAGTTGCCCACCCCTGGCCCTAGGCAAGGCAACCGGAAGCAGAAGGTGTCCTCCCTCCCTGTAGTCTTTTGGGACATGTGACAGGTCCCAGAAGACTACAGGACCATTCATAAAGCGCAGCGCTACTCGCGCATGCGTAGTGGGTACCCGGCTGTGAAGCCGCAAGCTGTCACAGCCGGGTGCCCACATTGAAGATGCCGGCCTCAGCTCTCCATATCCCTCTTATGTGTAAGTCACCTTGTGCCTGTTAGGGGTACAGGGTGATCTGTCCTAATATTGGACTGGGGGGGTTGTGGATTGTTTAATGCCATGTGGTTGCATCCCATTGTTCTATTGTGTGTCTTGCTTGGGAGCAAACTATTATGGGATGTACAGTGGGGATCGAAAGTTTGGGCACCCCAGCTAAAAATTTGTATTAATGTGCATAAAGAAGCCAAGGAAAGATGGAAAAATCTCCAAAAGGCATCAAATTACAGATTAGACATTCTTATAATATGTCAACAAAAGTTAGATTTTATTTCCATCATTTACACTTTCAAAATAACAGAAAACAAAAAAATGGCGTCTGCAAAAGTTTGGGCACCCTGCAGAGTTAATATCTTGTACTGCCCCCTTTTGGCAAGTATCACAGCTTGTAAACGCTTTTTGTAGCCAGCCAAGAGTCTTTCAATTCTTGTTTGAGGTATCTTTGCCCATTCTTCCTTACAAAAGTCTTCCAGTTCTTTGAGATTTCTGGGCTGTCTGTCACGCACGGCTCTTTTAAGGTCTATCCATAGATTTTCAATTATGTTGAGGTCAGGAGATTGTGAAGGCCATGGCAAAACCTTCAGTATACGCCTCTTGATGTAATCCCCCGTGGATTTCGAGGTGTGTTTAGGATCGTTATCCATTTGTAGAAGCCATCCTCTCTTTAACTTCAGCTTTTTCACAGATGGCATCAAGTTCCCATCCAAAATTTGCTGAAATTTTATTGAATCCATTTTTCCTTCTACTCGTGAGATGTTCCCTGTGCCACTGGCTGCAACACAACCCCAAAGCATGATTGATCCAACCCCATGCTTAACAGTTGGACAGAGGTTCTATTCATTAAATTCTGTGCCCCTTCTTCTCCAAACGTACCTTTGCTCATTCCGGCCAAAAAGTTCAATTTTAACCTCATCGGTCCACAGAACTTGTTTCCAAAATGCATCAGGCTTGTCTATATGTTAATTTGCAAAGTTCAAACGATGATTTTTGTAGTGAGGACGTAGAAGAGGTTTTCTTCTGATGACTCTTCCATGAAGACCATATTTGTACAAGTATCTCTTTATAGTGGAATAGTGTACCACAACTCCAGTGTCTGCCAGATCTTTCTGGAGGGATCGTGCAGTCAAACGTGGGTTTTGAATTGTTTTTCTCACAATCCTGCGAGCTGTTTTGTCTGATATTTTTCTTGGTCTTCCAGATCTTGCTTTAATTACCACTGTTCCTGATGACTGCCATTTCTTAATTACATTTCGAACAGAGGATACTGACATCTGAAAACGCTTTGCTATCTTATAGCCTTCTCCAGCTTTGTGAGCGTCAACTATTTTCAGTTTCAGTTTTCTAGACAACTGCTTAGAAGAACCCATGGTGCTGATTGTTGGGGCAAGGTCAGATGAGTCTGGGCATTTAAAACCTTTGAGATTGACATCACCTGGTCTTCCCAGACGATGATTGAGAACAATCCATGACACTGGCAGGTCTCAGCTTGGCAAAGGGGGCAGTGCATGCTATAAATTCTGCAGGGTGCCCAAACTTTTGCAGACGCCATTTTTTTTGTTTTCTGTTATTTTGAAAGTGTAAATGATGGAAATAAAATCTAACTTTTGTTGACATATTATAAGAATGTCTAATCTGTAATTTGATGCCTTTTGGAGATTTTTCCATCTTTCCTTGGCTTCTTTATGCACATTAATACAAATTTTTTGCTGGGGTGCCCAAACGTTCGATCCCCACTGTATGTGTTTGTGTATTGGCTTGGTGGGGGGGTGTCTCCAGCCACCCTCTCTTCTGATGGGACTGTCTGCTGGTGTGTCTTGTTGCTAAGTGTAGATTGCCCCGCCCTGTGTCATTATGCAGGGAGGGGGGATTTGTCCCCTGAGTGTATAAAAAGCCAGTTTGAGTTTCAAATAAAGAGTTCCCTGTTTATGCAGACTGGTGTCCTCTAGTCTTGTATGGTCAGCGGTGGTGTCTGTGGTCGGTGTTCGGACGGGGAGGCGATAGTCTAACGGAAGTACACAAGTGCAATCGGGTTCCGTTACATACAGTAAGTCAGAAAGTCAATGGGAATGCAGCTTGAAGGTAGGTCAGCTTAGGTGTGCGATCCGGATCAGCAGATAAGGCCTGATAAAAGAAAACTAACACAGTCACCACATTCATTGACAGTTAAGTGGCAAGATATTCCGGTTTTGTTCTTGGGTTTAGATCGATACAATTTAAAAGCAGAAAAAAATCAGATCTGCATTCTATATGGAAATATTGTATCTGTTCTCCCCAATAGTTTTTAATTTTACCCCTAAATACTGACCACAAATAAATGTCCAGCTGGGTGTCCCAGTAGATGCATGACGGATATACGTGGAATTTCGCTATTTTGTTTATAACAAATGTTTCTCTGCATTGTTTTTCAGCGTCAAGCCATTTGTCCAGCAAGCATATCCCATCCAGCCCACCGTCACAGCGCCCCTAACAGGTAATATGAGCTATGGCACGCCATACATTATGCAATTTTCTTTCCGTCAACCACGGTTTGAAGGAAAGAAAATAGCTTGATTCCCCCCATCAACACAGTCAGTGCTGATGGGGGAATCCCTCCCGCAGCATTATCGTATTCTGGCAGTGGAAGGTTTCCCAGCTGTCCGCAGGGCCAGGACAAGGGGTGGGTGGAAGGGGCGGCTGCCCTGGGTGCAATGGCTTCCTGTAGGGATGGGGGCACCTTCCTTCTGTTAGAAGGCTGACAGGAGTAGTGACAGTGGCAGTGATTTTGACAAGCGAGTGACTACTGGGCATAAGACTGCTTAACCCCTTCACGCCGGCTCCTCCCGGCCCTTTAAGCGTTTCAGAAGCTGGGACGGGCGGGGCTTAGGGATCATGTGACACGTCACGGCGGTCACATGATCAGGAAAGGTCCTGATCGAAAGAGGAGATCGGGACCTTTCCGTGAGTACCGGACATGTGTGCTGGGAGCGGGCAGGGCGCGCGCTCTCAGCACATATTTTTTTTTTTCATTAGAATGCGAAGACGCTGGGAGGCAACACATTTGTGTGCGGCCGGCGTGAAGAGGTTAAAGTGGAGTTCCACCCAAAAGGGGAAGTTCCGCTTTTAAGACTGGTCCCCCGCTCCCCATTAAGGATTGGCAACTTTGGGGAACAGGTACTCGAATTTGACAGGTACCCGCTCCCACTTCCTCTGCGATCGCCTAGGCGATCGGAAATGGAAGTTGTCCTCCTCCCCCCCCCCCCCCCTCCCTCCCCCCGAAGTCTTGTGGGACACGTGACAGGTCCCAGAAGACTACGGAGCCATTCAGGAAGCGCAGCGCTACTCGCGCATGCGCAGTGGGTACCCGGCTGTGAAGTTGCAAGCTGTCACAGCCGGGTGCCCACACTGAAGATTCTGGCGTCTGGAATACAGGACCGCTCCCTATTAAGGATTGGCACCTTTGGGGAACGGGTACCCGAATTTGACAGGTACCCACTCCCACTTCCGCTGTGATCGCCTAGGCGATCGGAAACGGAACTTGTCTCCCCCCCCTCCCTCCCCGAAGTCTTGTGGGACACGTGACAGGTCCCAGAATACTACAGGACCATTCAGGAAGTGCAGCGCTTCTCGCACATGCGCAGTGGGTACCCGGCTGTGAAGTCGCAAGCTGTCACCGTGGGGTGCCCACACTGAAGATTCCGGCGCCTAGAATACAGGACGGCCGGTGAAACGGGCAACGGCCGGGGCAACGCAGGATCGTGGGACAGGTAAGTGGCTGTTTTTTAAAAGTCCGCAGCTACAGTTTTTGTAGCTTCTGACTTTTATTTTTTTTTACAGAGTGAGTGGAACTCCGCTTTAAGAATGGTGGGGGGGTTCTGTAGTCCTGTCCTAGGGTGACAACCCTGCTCCTCCACAGATAAAGTATGGTGTGTGTTGTCACCCTAGGAAAAGCTAAAAATAGGACAAAAAGCCTGAAAAAAAAAGAAAACTAATACAGCCACCACATCTAAGGACTGATAAGCTGAAATATATGACAGATTTTGTAGCTGCTGACTTTTATTTTTTTACAGAGTGAGTGGAACTCCGCTTTCAGCTTGCACATCATGAACCTGGGGGGAGGAGGGGTGCATTTTGGCATCTTTGCCCTGGGAGCTGGATGGCCTTGTCCTGCATTGGCAGTCAGAATACAATGATCGCTGCTGGCAGCTATAGCCTTCAGCAGTGATTGAAAAAAAAAATGACCTGACAGGCTGGTTGTACTGAAGTCGATCGATGGATTGACTTCAGTACAACCAGCCTGCCCATAGATGGATTTAAATTTTACCGGTTCCTGCTTAAGCGACCGAATTTCAATCTGTCCATGGCCGGCCTAATGCAGACCATAGACGGTTTGAAAATCGGCCTATTTTTAAAAGATTGATCAGCCAATTTTCGCACTGTTAGCGGGTTAATTGGTCGGCTGGTTTTTGTTTTTTTTGCACTTTTGGATTATCGATCGTGTTGGAAAATTTGTGGAAAACTACCGATTTTCACGGAAATGATGGCCGAGTCATACAATCTTTTTAACGAAAAGCCGTGACCTGGAAGGAACAGAAGTTTTGGCTGTTATATGGGGCGAACTTTATGACTCGGTCGGCCGATTTTTGTAATCGTTGGTGGTAACGTCTGTTTAACGAATGACCGATTTTTCATCTATCGTTCGAAAAAACACGCGGTTTTCGAGCCGTCTATGGCCTGCTTAAATCTGAACACCAGGCAGACACAGATATACACAGATAAAATACATGAGAGCTGTATTACCTGCTGAAGGATTTCCATTTCTGTCAATCCATTCCTGATATTTACACAGCTCTGCTCTGTTTGGCCTGTTTTCTCTGATGCAGTTCAGTAACCGTTACTACTCTTGTCTCCCCCCCCCCCCCCCCCCCCCCCCCCCAGCCTGTAATTGGACAGTGAAAGCAGAAGCAGCCTGATTGAGCTCATCTCACTGTCCCTTTGCTCTCTCCTCCTATCAGCATGTCCTGTTTTAGCACAAGAACTTCAACACAACTTGATGGCTCCTTGTGCTTCTTCATTAAAAAAACCCAAAAACAAACAAAAAAAAACAAACGTTCTTTATTGTATTGATGAGCTGTGTAGATATGTCTTTGATATCTGTCTGGAGCAGGGGCGGACTGACCATTTGGAAACTCGGGCACTGCCCGAGGGCCCGGGGTCAGTAGGGGGCCCCATGAGATGCCCCTGGTACCTTTTTTATAGGCTTTTTTGAGTTTGGGCAAACACTCAGGGGCCCTATGATCCCCTATTGCCCGGGGGCCCCATGAGTTGTCAGTCCGCCCCTGGTCTTGTGACCTAGAATGTACCTGACCAGGGGCGGACTGACCATTTGGAAACACGGCACTGCCCGAGGGCCCGGGGTCAGTAGGGGGCCCCATGAGATGCCCCTGGTACCTTTTTTATAGGCTTTTTTGAGTTTGGGCAAAGACACAGGGGCCCCATGATCCCCTATTGCCCGGGGGCCCCATGAGTTGTCAGTCCACCCCTGGTCTTGTGACCTAGAGTGTACCTGACCAGGGGCGGACTGACCATTTGGAAACTCGGGCACTGCCCGAGGGCCCGGGGTCAGTAGGGGGCCCCATGAGATGCCCCTGGTACCTTTTTTATAGGCTTTTTTGAGTTTGGGCAAACACTCAGGGGCCCTATGATCCCCTATTGCCCGGGGGCCCCATGAGTTGTCAGTCCGCCCCTGGTCTTGTGACCTAGAATGTACCTGACCAGGGGCGGACTGACCATTTGGAAACACGGCACTGCCCGAGGGCCCGGGGTCAGTAGGGGGCCCCATGAGATGCCCCTGGTACCTTTTTTATAGGCTTTTTGAGTTTGGGCAAAGACACAGGGGCCCCATGATCCCCTATTGCCCGGGGGCCCCATGAGTTGTCAGTCTGCCCCTGGTCTGGAGTTCAGCTCTAACATATGTTGCGGCGCCCCCTTCCTTTCATCATTTGAACTCCCCTCCCTTGCCCCCATCTCACCTCACCTCTCGTTCTAGAAATGCCAGCTATACAATAAAAAAGGGCGTTGCAATTCGCTCCTCTCCTGAACACAAATAGTTTCTTTTAATCCGTCTGGCTGTAATCTCGCTGGTACCGCAGAGACATCTTGATGAAATCCTTTCCTTCCAGTGTAGTCATTTCACGAAATGCTTAAATTCCTCCTCTATCCTCGGGGGGGGGACAGAACACAGGTGCGCCTCTAAGAAAGTGTAATTAACCCCCAGGGGCAAAGCAGCGGGCGGAAGAGTCTCTTCATGTTTTGTCTTCTGTTCTTCGGAATGGACGGACCTTTGAGAATTTATTTGTTTAGAATTTTTTTTTTTTTTTTTTTTAAATTTATAGCAATTTTATTTTTGTTTTGTTTAAAAAGACGATTAAAAAGAAACTCTTTTATGGAAAGTAAAAAAAAAAAACAAACAAATCCGTCACATGGATTACTTGCAACATAATGGAGTTTGGAATGACGGCAAGCGTTGTCAACAAAGAGCAGAATAATGGGCCGTGGTTTCCAAAATGATGGAAAATATAATGACGGGTACAATCATTAGACAGAAACAGATGACGGGGCGGGGGGGGGGGGGTGACTTTTATTTAGTCGTCTGATATCATTTCAGTTGACATTTGTTTTTTTTAAGTATAGATCAGGGGTGGACTGACAACTCATGGGGCCCCCCAGCAATAGGGGATCATGGGGCCCCTGTGTCCTTGCCCAAACTCAAAAAAGCCTATGAAAAAGGTACCAGGGGCATTTCATGGGGCCCCCCACTGACCCCGGGCCCTCGGGCAGTGCCCGAGTTTCCAAATGGTCAGTCCGCCCCTGGTATTGAGGATTTCCCAGCACAGGAGTGAAGTGATGGAGCAGCGCTTTTACCCCCCCCTCCAAAACTGACACCGTCTGTTTACATTTCAGGTTTTGAAACCGCAGCGCCGCCTGCCTCCTCAGTCCCGGCATGGCAAGGTCGGTCTATAGGCACAAGCAAACTTCGATTGGTGGAGTTTTCAGCGTTTCTAGAACAGCAGCGGGACCCGGACGCTGTAAGTAACTTGTTGTCATGTAATAATTATAATATGTTTTAATTTGTATATCCAGGCATTGCCCGGGTTGGCCCCAGAACCTCGCTCCCCCCTATGGAGCATATAGTTACATAGTCTGGCTGAAAAAAGACAAAAGTCCATCCAGTTCAACCATTAAAAAAAAAAAAGTTATAATCCTATACCCACAGTCAGGGGCGGACTGAAAACTCATGGGGCCCCCGGGCAATAGGGGATCATGGGGCCCTTGTGTCCTCACCCACACTCATCCACACCCAAAAAAGCCTATGAAAGGTACCAGGGGCATCTCATGGGGCCCCATACTGACCCCGGGCCCTCGGGCAGTGCCCGAGTACCCGAATGGTCAGTCCGCCCCTGCCCGCAGTTGATCCAGAGGAAGGCACAAAAAACCCAGCAAAGCACGATCCAATTTGCTCCTGCAGGGGAAACAATTCCTTCCTGATCCCCCGAGAGGCAATCGGATATTCCCTGGATCAGCTTTACCTATAAATATTATATCCAGTTATATTCTGTGTATCCAAGAAAGAATCCAGGACTTTCCTACAGCAATCCACTGAGATGGCCACAACCAACTCTTGAGGGAGTCTATTCCACATTCTCACAGCTCTCACTGTGAAGAAACCTTTCCGTGTTTGGAGATTCAATTTCTTTTCCTCCAGATGTAAAGAGCGCCCCCTTGTCCTCTGTGATGACCTCAGGGTGAATAACTCTACACCGAGTTCACCAGGGGCGGACTGGGAGAGGGGACCCGCACAGGGAGAGAATGCAAACTCCAGGCAGGTGGTGCCGTGGTTGGAATTCAAACGGGGGTGGACTGACAACTCATGGGCCCCCCGGGCAATAGGGGATCATGGGTCCCCTGTGTCTTTGCCCAAACTCAAAAAACCCTATGAAAAAGGTACCAGGGGCATCTCATGGGGCCCCCTACTGACCCCGGGCCTTCAGGCAGTGCCCGAGTTTCCAAATGGTCAGTCCGCCCCTGGAGTTCACTATATGGACCACTGATGGTCACTGCAGGTCACATTTCCTTTCTCTTGTTCCTGTAGGAACATTATCACCAGGCTTGTATGATTCTTGTAAGGGCAGCTACTGGGAGGTCTTTTACTACTGACTTGATATACTCCCAGCCACGCCGAAACTCCTTGGCTTTTTCAGTGGATTTTTATGCATTGTTCCTTAGACATAAAGAAGATTTGTTTGTGTGTAGTGCCGGCTTTTTATCATGATACACATTCCTAGAACCGCATCTCCAAAGAGCTCCCTTCCCTACAGACGCTGTGTAGACAGGCTCCTGGGAGTCCACAGAAGGATCGAAATTTGGCTGGTTCAGAGTGTTGATCATTGGATATACTGTGTAATTATAGAATTTAACTCTTGGACGTTTGGTAACAATGTTCATTGTACTTAAAGAGGCTTTTTAAAACGTTGACTGGTTAAAAATGTCAGATTCATCCAACACGTTTCGGGGGGAAAGGACTGCTCCTTCAGGGGCAACGGATGTAGAAGAAATCGGGTGAGAAAACAGTGGAAGACCTGAATGAAGCCAGGAATGGGACTAGTGTGCTCTGACAGCAAAGTGTAAACTGGCTGACCATTTTTACGTCTATTGCCCAAGCCCTGAAGAAGCAGGAGTTATTTCCCCCGAGGCACGTTGGGTGTTCTTTCCCCTGAAGCGCATTGGATTATTCTGGTGCTCTTACCCACTAAATGTTTTACAAGATTTTGTAAGCAGAGCACATATTTGTGCCGGGTGCTCCATGCCACCCAGCCAAGAGTTGTACGTCTGCTGAGCACTTTGTTCCTTAGGATCAAAAAGGCAGCAGCCAACGACCTACCAATCAGGTCCATACACACCTTAACCTCTTCACGCCGGCCGAACGCAAATGTGCGGCCTTCCGGCGTCTGGGCCTAGACGCCGAGCGGCCGCTCATTTGCGTTCTATTAAAAAAGGACATATGTGCCCTGCCTGCTCCCAGCATACATGTCCGGTACTCACGGAAAGGTCCCGATCTTCTTTTTCGATCGGGACCTTTCCCGATCATGTGACGGTGTGTCACGGCGGTCACATGACCCTAAACCCCGCCCCGCCTTCCGGATTCTGAAACTCTTAAAGGGCCGGGAGGCGCCGACGTGAAGGGGTTAAAGTGGTTGTAAAGGTTCAAAGTTTTTACCTTCATGCAGTCTATGCATTGACACACACAGCGTGGCTCGACCCCACCCTCCAATCTCTCCTCACAGGCTCTGATTGAGAGTAGCAGGAGCCAATGGCTTCTGCTGCTGCCTCTCTCTCCAATGAGAAGGGAGAGAGCTGCTGCTGTAGTGCACATCGCTGGATAGACAGTTGGCTCCGATAAGTATGGAGGGGGATGTTTAGAACCGCTCCCCCATACTATGAGGACACTCTTGCATGCTCACTCCCGTTCATTGACACACAGAGCGTGGCTCAACCCCACCCTCCAATCTCACCTCATAGGCTCTGATTGAGAGCAGAAGGAGCCAATGGCTCCCGCTGCTGCCTCTCTCTCCAATGAGAAGGGAGAGAGCTGCTGCTTTAGTACACACCGCTGGATCGAGATTTGGCTCAGGTATGTATGGGGGGGGGGGGGGGAGTTTAGAATGTATAGAATGCATTACAGGTAAAAAAAAAAAAAACTTTCTGCCTTTTAGACCCACTTTAATATCACCGCAGAATTACCTCCCCTAAGGAGAACTTACTCTTCCCCATTTTTCATGAGTCCGGTACTATTCGTATTCACCAGACAATAAATACAATACCTTGATGACCAGGGGCGGACTGACCATTCAAGCACTCAGGCACTGCCCGAGGGCCCGGGGTCAGCAGGGGGCCCCCTGAAATGCCCCTGGTACCTTTCATAGGCTTTTTTGGGTGTGCTTTGAGTGTGGGTGAGGACACGGGCCTCATGATCCCCTATTGTCCGGGGGCCCCATGAGTTGTCAGTCTGCCCCTGGTAGGGGGCCCCATGAAATGCCCCTGGTACCTTTCATAGGCTTTTTTGAGTGTTCTTTGAGTGTGGGCAAGGACACAGGGGCCTCATGATCCTCTATTGTCCGGGGGGCCCCATGAGTTGTCAGTCTGCCCCTGGTAGGGGGCCCCATGAAATGCCCCTGGTACCTTTCATAGGCTTTTTTGAGTGTTCTTTGAGTGTGGGCAAGGACACAGGGGCCTCATGATCCCCTATTGTCCGGGGGGCCCCATGAGTTGTCAGTCTGCCCCTAGTAGGGGGCCCCATGAAATGCCCCTGGTACCTTTCATAGGCTTTTTTGAGTGTTCTTTGAGTGTGGGCAAGGACACAGGGGCCTCATGATCCCCTATTGTCCGGGGGGCCCCATGAGTTGTCAGTCTGCCCCTGGTAGGGGGCCCCATGAAATGCCCCTGGTACCTTTCATAGGCTTTTTTGAGTGTGCTTTGAGTGTGGGCAAGGATACAGGGGCCCCATGATCCCCTATTTTCCGGGGGCCCCATGAGTTGTCAGTCCACCCCTGTTGATGACACAACTGTTACCACACAAATTCACATGTAATGGAGGCTTTTCAGAATAAACCTCTTACTGGTGTCACCAAGACAGGACGTAAAGGAGGAAATCCACCATGATAAAAACCCAACAGAGGTTCTAACCTTTCCCACACTCCAGTAGTAGTGTGCACACAGCTCTTGGTGTACCTGTACGTTGTCCTATGGAGTAGGGTGCGGACGAGTATTTGTCTGATTCTCCTGTTCTGAGAATTGGGATTCCAGTGCGGGGAAGGCAGCGAGGGGCACCTGTCCCTTTGGCAGACTCAGCCGGCAGCTGCAGTGTGATCTAAGAGCTGTGTTTAGGTATGTCAGTGTAGATGGCATATAGAATGTCTCATTCCAGGAGCATTCCTGGGAGTCCGGACCGTCTTCTGCTGACACGTCTCTTCTTGTCACTGCAGCCTCTTCTCCAGCACATTTCATACGCTTGTCATTTCACTGTCTGGAGGCCCCAAGTCATTTCCACGTTTCTCCTTCACACACAAGAAAAAAAAAAAAATGGTGCTTTCTGCAGCAAAACCTCCTAATGTGTCACATTCCTGCTGCTGGTTCTGGGTGGACGGTGAAAGATGCACCCAGTTAGGTAAAAGGGACTTGTCAAGAGAGAGATAATAAGGGAGCTGTCAAAGTACATGTACGCCCGATCGCTGAAATCTCATTGAAGCTCGAACATACATCAAAAGTCATTTCAAATATCTTTAAATCTGGAGCTTTCTTAAAAATAATACCCGATGAGTCTGCCTTTTAAGCATTTCCTGTTATACGGTGACAACGCTCTGACCCTGTCTCCTGGCTGCGCTCCTGCATTGTGATATGGGCAGCACAGTGGCTAAATGGTTAGCACTCCCGCCTGGCAGTACTGGGGTCATTGGTTCAAATCCCAGCCACGGCACCTCCTGCCTGGAGTTTGCATGTTCTCCCTGTGCCTGCGTGGGTTTCCTCTGGGTACTCCGGTTTCCTCCCACACTCCAAAGACATGCTGGGAGGTTAATTGGATCCTGTTAACCACTTCCAGACCGGACACTTTTACCCCTTTCCTGACCAGGGCAATTTTCAGCTTTCAGCGCTATCACACTTTGAATGACAATTGCGCGGTCATGCAACACTGTACCCAATTGAATTTTTTACCATTTTTTTTGAGACAGATAAAGCTTTATTTTGGTGGTATTTATTCACCGCTGGGATTTTTATTTTTTTTGCTATGTAAATGAAAAAGTCAAAAAATTTTGAAAAAAAGTGTTTTTTTTTTTTTAAATTCTGCAAATAAATAATATTTCATCATAAATCTTTGCCAAAATTTATTCCGTTATCTTTTTAGTAAAAAAAAAAAAAATCCAAATTAGTTTATAACCAAAAATTATAATTTTTAAAAACATTTTTTTTTACATTTTTATTTTATTTTTTTATATTATTATTTTTTATTTTTATTTTTACATACTGTCACCCT